CTTTCCTGTCTTGGTGCCTCACCCCTGTCTCAGAGCCCCAGGCCGTAGCCACATTCAACAGACCTGGCAAAGCAGGACACTGCTGTTTATTCTGCCCTGCGTTTGATTCGCCTGTATGTTTTCATCCTTTGAGCATATTCTGCCATTTAATTCATGCTCAAGGCTGACTTTGCTTCAGTGTGGGAGTAACGAAAACTTTGTGATCCTAACACAGCCTCTCATAGCTTGAATGTTGAGAAGATGGTATTCCTCTACGACACCTTCAGCACTTGTGAATTTACATGGGACCAATTCTTCTGTGCTATTCTGAATATTACCCCAAGCACAAGAAAATACCAGATAAATGAGAAGGGTTTATTGGGTTATATGTTTTGAAGCTAGATGGGGTAAAATGGATGTATGAAATTTCTTTCAAATTTGGTGTAGATGCTTTAAGTCACATATAAAATCTACTCAATAAGTGGCATCATGACCCTCTGCCCCCCCTGGAAGTGATTCCTCATAGTTCATCATTAAAAATGTTCAATTCTATGTTGATGCAAAACCTATTAATTTTTAACAACCTACATTTTTATGTTAAAGAGGCACAGATCTTTTTAATGAGTCATTTCACTTTTGCTGAAGCCAGAAAGACCTTTTCATTGTTAAGAACATCGTGATCATGGGAAATAGGCCATTCCATACTTTAAATTTATATATATATTTTCACTGGAGAGAAAAGCTTTAAAATATAAAACTATTAAATTCTTTGGAGGAAGTGGAATAGAAATATAATTTCCTTGTAAAATGAAATGATGTGAGAACTTGAAAGCTAAAAAACTTTTTCATGTGTTTTAAGAGTGGAAGAGAGTAGTGATCAGGTCCACTGGATGCTTTTAAGAGTAAAGGAACAACTTTAAAGTAGCAATGCTCAGGATATAACACACACGATCTCTTTTTGAATTATTTATACTATGAACAAAATTTTAGATTCCAACTAAAAACTTGCAAGTGTGAAAAAAAATGTCTGAGTTGTTTTTGAGCAAAAGGTTTGGAGATCACAGTTTCCGGTTCAGATGCAGGCCCTTACCAGGCACAGAACCTTCTAGCCCACTCCTCTAGTGACACCATGTGGCAAAGGCTGCAACTGCAACTCAGTAGTAAAAGGCTTCCTGGGACAAGGCTCCTGGCCTGCTTCTTTTAAAGGAATCCTAAGTTCATGAAGATGTGGAGAAAAAGGAACTCTCTTACATTGCTGGTGGGAATGCAGGCTGGTCCAACCACTATGGCAAGCTGTGTGGACGGTCGTCAAACTATTAAAAATGGAGCTTCCACATGACTCAGCAATTCTACTCCTAGGTATCTACCCAAAAATACAAAAACATTAATTCAAAAGGACACCTGCACCCCTATGTTTATTGCAGTTCTACTTACAATAGGTGAGGTAAGGGAACATCCCAAATGCCCCAAAATAGATGACTGGATTAAGAGGATGTGGTACAGAGCTACTATGGAATATTATACAGCAATCAAAAAGATAAACGCATGACATTCACAGCAACATGGATAGAGCTGGTAGGAATTATGCTCAGTGACATAAACCAGGAAGAAAAAGAAAAAAACTCTGGATGGTTTCACTTATAAGAGGAATGTAGGGGAACGAAGTAAAGAATCAGGAAAAATAATTATAATAACTTAAAAACAATATTAATAGGCAGCTATAAATCAAAGAAACTGCATGGGAGGGGGATAGGGAAGGGAGAGAAGAGCACAAGAGACAATGGTGATGGTATATGGGTGAATTGGTGTTGGGAATTTACAGGGGCCACAATTGAGAGGAGAAAGCAAATATTGTATAAAAAGGAAGAATGGTGCGTTCTATCTATCTATCTACCTATCTATATATTATTAGCTTTCTCCATACTTGCACAGGTAAACACCCTGGGTTCTTAAAGGTATTGAGAGATGAGGGGCCCAGGGAAAGCGAAAAGCATCAGTAAAAACTAGGGTGGTGAGTGGATTACATTTCAGCAGATTATGAAAAGAAATGCAATCTTATTTTACCTTTACTTCCATCATGGAAAAATCCTGGACCAAAAGGCTTCATCGGTGAATCCTATCAGATATGTAAAGAAGGAGGTGAGGGCGTGTGTGCTAATTCTAAACAGGTGAGTACCTATGTAACATCAATCTTTTTATAAAGGTTCCAAGAACTGAAGCAAAGGAAACACTTCGTAATGTATTTTATAAGGGTGAAGCTTTATCCAGACGCTGAAGAGAAAACTCAATATTTTCAATATGCCTTGAAAATATTGACACAACAAATTCTCGTAAAATGATAGCAAACAATTCAGCAGCATACTTAATGCATTAGGAAAGTGAGGCATTTAATGTAATTTATCATAGTTATTTCTAAGTTAGATCATCAGTAGTGTCCATCATGGCTGACTTTCACAGAATTCAAGATCTAGTCGATATTTACTTTGTTTTGCACATGCATTTGTACAGGGAATTTTCAGGTCGGTGCAGAGTGAGGTCTCTTAGGGGAATTGTCTGGGGGGAGGGCAGGGGCAGAAGAGGCTGTGGGTGGCAAATAGCAAGTCATGTTGTCCCAGGCAGTGGCTTGCTTCTGAGATGCCACAAGCAATTGAACCCTTATCTTCTCACCTTGCTTCTGGCTTCCATCCTAGGTGTTGAGTACACCGTGGTATCGCCCCAACCTTCTTAGGACTCACCATCTTACCCATTGTGTCAATGTCCCATTCGCTGGACTTTTCCTGAGGTAAATTTTCATCAGAATTAACACTATGTGACAGTTCACTCCAGGTACCTCATGACTTAGCTGCTACTCAACTTCCACTTTCCTCATAAAACAACCCCTAACCCCACACTTGATGGAGGATTGCCAGCCTCTGGGACTCTCCAGTGGCTGAAGTGGGCTGCCTCTCTGCCCCCCACTTGGTTACTGGGGGACCAGTATCTGGAGGTGAGTTAAAGGTGTGGCAGGGCAATGAAACTTACCTGATGAAATTGAAACTACTTTTCTCTACAGAGCCTGTTGGTGATGCTTAGTTCATAGGCATCAATGGGCTGGTTTAGTTCAGTGAGAAGCTTTTGAAATTGATGAGGCACGTTTTACAGCCTTCCAGCTTTCAAACATCAAAAGTGAGCTCTTAAATTCCCTGTCAATGCAAATAACCCCCTGTAACTCTGTTAGATCCACACCTAACATTTGGCAGCCTTGTGGACGACCTTTGTTCTAGTTCTCTAAGATTGGGGTTTTCACCTGTAGTTTTATGGGACATGGAATTTCTTTTCAGCTCTTGAAAAAGGTGTGTCACTTCCCTCTGGTCTCTGTGATTTCAAAGGAAAGATCTGAACTTGAAGGAGTGCTTTCCTACAGTATTTTAAATTTGTGTGTGTCTTCACACCTGTTTCTTCAGGTTTATCTTATTGGGCTTCATTGAGTGTTTTGACTTCGT